CGCCCTTCGCCGTTCCCGGAAGTTACTTACTTCTGGGTTCGGCGACCAACCGGTTCGCAGGGACCGCCGCGAACCGGTTGAAACCCACCCCTGCTTCCCACTCTCTCGGCCTTCTGAAAAGCCACTAAAACCTGGCTGTTCCGGCGGGCCTGGAGCTGTTGAACAAGGTCCAGCCCCACTAGACGGAATCTATGGTGTGTTGTTTTTAAAATTGTATCTTTCTTATTTTTAACTTTTAACTCTTACCTTGTTTCTGTAAGCCCCCCAGGGTCCTACGGGATTGGGCGGCATACAAATTTATTAAATTACTAATTACTAATTACTATGTCAGTAGACTTTCTCAGCAGGATTTTAGCCTGGAGCTCTTTATACAGGGGATCCTCAACGTTTAGAGACCGTTTGAAGTCGGCACTGATAAAAGTGACTTAGGACAGCTTTTTACACTTACGACATCCCCCGAGTCACGAGATCAAAATTCAGATGCTTAGCAACTGACTCATGTTCCTAGGTGATCCCCTTTTACGACCGTCTGACAAGCAAAGTCAACAGGGAAGCCAAGTTTCACTTAACAACGGTGTTGCTAACGTAACCATTATAGTGATTTGCTTAACAACTGCAGTGAGGAAGGTCATAAAACAGGGGCACAAGTCCCTTAACAAATGTCTGACTTAGCGACAGAAGCTTGGACCTCAATTGTGGTTGTAAGTCGAGAACTACCTGTTACAATGTTTAGGACAGCAATCTCTTGAGTCCTTTCCTTGTCTCTCTTCGGGAAAATGTTAAACTGCCATTTGTATAGTGCAGTGTTTCTCAACCTTGGCAACTTGAAGATGTCCGGACTTCAACTCCCAGAATTCCCCAGCCAGCGAATGCTGATGCCTATTAGCTCTTCAGTGCCGGGCATCCAGGAACAACTCACTGCTGGCGTCCAGATCACTCTCCCTTGTCTCCTCCCCACTGGCCCAAGACTCAGGCGCCTCCTGGTGGCCAACCAGCCTCTCTGCGCCCTGCTCGGAGTCGGAACCCTGTCCAGGGTCCTCCACATCCTCCAGAGCCAACTCATAGGGCCCCTTGCTGTCGGAGGTGGCAGCTCCAACGGCACCTGCTGGGCCACAACAGGTGCCTAAACAAACTCAAGTAATACCCACCTTTTGCTTGGGTATCTAAGAAAGACATCCTTGCCTAATTTAAAAAAAAATACAATATAGTTATAGCCCTGTATTTTGAAGCTGATATGTGTCCTTGAATTAAGGGCTGATGAAGAACATTCTACATCATCCCCAACCCTGGGCCATGGCATGCCAGAAATGAGGCTGCTTAAACAAATGAAGCCCAATCCGCGGGATGCATTCAGCACACGTAACCATGCGCCCCCCCCCAGTCCGTAGAAAAACCTCTCTCCATGGAACCAGTTCCTGGTGCCCCAAAGGGTGGGGGCTGCTGTGCTACAGAACTAAAGGATATGGCAAGAGAGCCAAGGGTATTATTTCTTTCTGTTTTGCCATATGTTTTGC